GCCCCGGGTTTTTTCGGGCTGCCTCTAACCAGAGCGGCTGCTGCTCTGGCACCAGCGCTTCCCTGAGGATGAGGATGGCCCTGGGTGGCCATTCCATCTCCCCAGAGGAGCCACAGCACCCGGCCCAGCAGCACTGATGGTTGGACTCTTTTTAAAATCTCCCACAGATGCTCCCCAAGCCTCCTGGAAGGGTTTTTTTCCTCTATTGCACGTGTGGATTCCTGCTCCGCACACCAGCATGGCTCTGGGGGGGTCAGCCCGGCCAGCCCCCACCCAAGGGACAGCGTGGAAATGTGTGTCACCTCCGGGCAGTGCTGGGAACCCCCGGGGCTGTGCCTGAGGCAGGAGGGAGCAGGAGTCCCCTCCGGCCACAAGACAGGGCTTGGCCTGCTGGACACGCTCCTCCAAGGCAAATATTGACAGTGAGGTTTCCCAGAGAAGGGGGAGCAGGAGCTCTGCTGCTTCCATCAGCCGGCCAAGGGCTCCTAATGGATGTAAATAAAGCTTGTGGTGCAGGGGGCTGAGGTGCCTGAGTGGGGAGGGGTTCATTAAGGGGCCAGGGAGCCTTTCATCTCCGGCTCGTTGGCTCCACTCCAGTGACCAGCAGTTCCCATCTGCTGGGTGACCTTTGTGGGAGGAGTGGGTGGTCTGCACCCTGCTCCCCCCGGGCAGGGTCTGGCGTCACCGCCACCACACCTCGTGTTCCAGGAGGTGCTGGAGGTGCCCACTGCACCCCAGCTGCTCCCCACAGGACACCTGCACAGCCCAGACAGCCCAGCTGGAGGTTTCCCACAGCTGGGAACATCCCAGCCCCGGGGCTCCCCAGAACCACCCACCGCAGCCAAGGGAGCCCTGAGCATTCCAGCAGGCAGAGCAGAAAACCAGAAGACCACAGGCTGTCGTGAGCCAGTCTGCTCCCAAAACACTGTGCATGGGAGCCAGGACAGGCCTTGCCCTGCCCTGCAGCCACCCCTGCACCCTCACCTCCCAGTCTGCACCGTTCAGCACCGGATCAAGCTTGGCAAGTGTCCAGTTTAAACTCAGGGAATTAGCAGAAAATGCCCAAGAGAGAAGCCAGAGGGACATGAGGGACAGGACAAGAGACCAGAGGGGACACAAGGGACAGGACAAGAGACCAGAGGGGACACGAGGGACAGGAGAGGACAACTCTCAGTGTTCACCTGCCCTGCTGAGCCAGGCTCAGGCAGAAGGAGCCACAGCCACACAGCCGGGATGGGCAGAGCAGGGACTTTGCTCTGTGAAATGAACTGAAGGCTTTGAAGGCTGGAAAACTGGCACCCAGGGAGGGTCCGTGGGCAGTGCGGGGCACTGAGATTCTGGGAACAGAGAGGTGGAAGAGGATGGGATTCACTTCAACTATCATGTGTCAACTGTCATGTGGAGCAACCTGGTCCAGTGGGAGGTGTCCCTGCCCACGCAGGGGGGTTGGAACTGGATGATCTTGAACGTCCCTTCCAACCCAAACCATTCCATGATTCCATATGGGCAATACAGTTACTTATGAGTCGTTATTGAACTGTACCTGTCCGGAAGCAGCAGGTCCTCCCTCGGTGAGCCAGGGGAGCAGTGCCACCCAGAGGGCTCCTCCAGGAACAGCTCACACCATCTGACATCTCGCCCAGCTCTGCAGCTATTTTTCTTCACTTTTGATCAAAAAAAGGCTCCCTTTACTCACCAGCTCAGTTGCAGCTGTCTTTCAAACCACCCTCCTCCCTCCACCCCAAGACAAGCCAGACCCACTCAACAGCAGCTCCAAGTTAGGGAAATCACTTCAATCACAACTTACTCGCCAGGCTGGGAGATAAAAATAACATCTTTAATAGCTTTATAGTTGGCACAGCTGGTATTAAAATTCACCACTTTTAATTAATAGACTATGAACCAACACATGGCACAGTGCTCAGCCTGCATGTTGCTTCTACACCATGTAGCTATGACAGGTTGGTGTTAAGAGCTGACTCTTTTCATTTACATTCAGCATTTACAGTCAAGAGAGTAAAACCAACAGCTGGATTTAACCACACGCACACAGAGAAAAGCCTGGGAAGGATGTTTCTGCTGGCAACCGACGTGTCCTCCTCTGACCAGCACACAAAAGCCCAAAAATGCAGTTGCAACAGGTTACAGGAGAGAGCTGCTGTAGCTGCTGTTGGCCAAAGAGCACGTGGCAGGAGGCAGGAGCTTCTGCTCACACCTGGCTGGGCAGTCACTGAGAGTCCTGTGTCCCTCTTCCAGGAGAGGCAAAGGCCAGCCCAGCACTTCAGATATTAAGACATAACCCATGAAGTTCTGTCAGGGGCAACTGTTTTGGTTTTTTCAGGAACCTAGAACATAGTGGGACAATAATACTTTTAACCTCAAACCTCACTACAGGAGAAGCAAGTGTTATCAGCCTCATCCAGATGAAGACAGTGGACCAAGGGCCTCGCAGAAAAGCCCCATTCTGACAAAAAAACAAACCTTACAGCATCAAGAACTACTAGGCAAGATGGAAATAACTCCCAACAACACTTCACAAGAGGGGAAGGGAGGGTTGAAGGCACCCCAGAAGATGTGAGCAGACGCAGAACCAACGGGCAAGGTTAGCAGTGTTAGCCTAAAAAGAACAAACAGGAACTTCAGCCAAAAAAAAAATACACTCCCACATTGTGAGCTGGATCCAAAACACTAGGCCATGAACTCATGTGCTCCTTATCCATTCTCGTGTGCTTGTTATCCATCCCCTCATTACACAGACACAGCCTCTGGGTCACAGCACATCCCTATCACAGTTTCCAGGTAAGCATCCCTCACTGCTGACCATGTGCAACACTTTTATTTGGGGAAATATTTATAGATCTCTGGCAAAATTATAACTTCAGTCCTCAGTGAAACCACAACCACCAACACTGCTGCAGACACATCCTGTGCATTAGCAACTCCATCCTGACCAACAGTTTGTCCAACCCAGCCATCCAAAGGTCAGTGTTGTAACAACCCTGAAGGAGCCAAGACTCTACAGTCACTTTCCACCATCAATTTTCTTATCATTTTTTTTGGTTATATTTTTTTGGTTATAAAAAATTCCAGTTTCTACGGGTACTCTACAATCACAATTAATCATGAGGCATTTCTGGCCTCTGTTCTGCCACAGGGAATTCCCTCTCACTGCCACGCTGGCGTGCTGACACGGAGGGAAGTGGGGATGCATAGTGAGGTCTCCCATCATCTGTCCTCTCCCCAGGCCACTCTTTTGGTTTCCATCTAATGACCCTGGGCTGTCACAGTCTCTGTTTTGCCTCCAGCTTCAGCAGGGCCCTTGCCACCCCCTGCTTTGTTGGAATAATCTCGCTCTCCAAAAATGGTGCTTCCGATCCTGACGTTTGTGGATCCAACCTCTACCTACAAAGAGACAGAAAGGAGCAGTTCAGGGCTGGGCTGCCACCCACGCCTGCCAACACGGGCTGTCTCCAGCCTCCTTGCTCTCCATGTCACAGAAGGACAGTTCCCCACCTACTCGCCACCCCCAGCTTCAGGCAGGGTCTGTTTTGATCCCCAGAACTTGATCCCAGGACCAGGAGAGGCCCAGAAGCCCCACCTGGATGACTTGGGGTGCCTGCTGCTGGTGCTGGTCACCAAGAGAAGAGGTGGCAGAAGAAAACCAGACTCACTGCATGCTGGAAGTCTGTGGACATGCCCATGCTCAGCTCCACCTTCTCAACGGGGAGGTTCAGCTTGTCACACACCTCCTGCCTCAGAGACAGCAGCATCTGGAGAGAAAGAGGGAAGAGGAGAGGCTCACACACCTGACAGCCACGCCATCTCAGCCTCAGGGCTCCACAGATCACGATTTCTGCCTTTCTTTGAAGTCTCCTTCACACAGCACCTGCAATTCTCACACCTCCCACTGAAGGCTGCTCTGCCCCCCGTTCCAGGCACTTCCCTGACAACACACACACTGACAAGTCTGCACATCTTCTGAAGACACCCAATTACCACACAGCGTGGCAGGAGGGAAGCAGACCCAGTTCCTCTGCCTGCTGCACCCCGTGCTGACCAAAACCTTCCCTGAAGGCAGGAGCAGAGCATCCAGGGGAGCAACTGCTGCACGAGGTGCCCCTGCTGATATCCTGCCTACAGCTTCAGAGGACCAAATACCTCCAGGCACCCAGCTCCTGCAGGAATGAGCCAGGCACCTGCAGGAATTCTGCCAGCTGGAGCTCTGTACTGCTCTCAACACATTTTCTTCTAGCACCTCACCTGGAAGTCAGGATTTGGCCCCTTACTAAGGTCGTGCCCGACGCTGCCGATCGTCATCAGCCCCACGAACTCCAGGCTGGGACACTTGTTGATCACATGCTCCACAGCAGCCGTGGTGTCTCCAGGAGGAAGGCCATGCTTACCTGGCAACAAAAGGGGAGATTTGTGTCCAGCTCTGCCAGAAACTTCCCCTCCCCACAGCCAGCAGGAAGCTAACAGATGAGCAAGTATCATCTGAGCTTAGAGAAATATTCCAAGAGCACAAACCAACCCGTGTTTCTGTTGGGCCAGCAGGACAAACCTGCACATCACCCAAGGAAGCCACTTACTGTCTTCTCCACTTGTGTTCACTTGCACCATGACCTTCAGCTTCTGGGATGACCCTTTTTTCTGCCATGAGCTGTTGACTCTGTCTGCCAGCTTCACAGAATCCACCGTTTCCAGCATGAACAGGTTGGGGACAGCTGGGGAGGAAACACAGGCTGAGGGAAAATCTACTGGCACAGGAATCTTTGTACCTGCAACCCAGCTCCCTGCACAGACACAGGGCTGAGTTAATGCAAATGAGGTCATTATTAATTGAACATAAGAAGACTATTGCCCCCAGGGTCACTGCATAGAACATTCAAGAGAGTTTACCAATCAACTTGTTGACGTTACTTTTCTGCAGGTGGCCAATAAAATGCCACTTAATCTCAGGGCAGGATGACAGAATCTGAAAGCAGAGAGGAACAGGCAGATGTAAATGATAATTCCCCTTTCCCACAGAGTACATAGGTCTTAAGTTTGCCCACAAACAAAATACCAGACACTTAGTCTCTTGTTTACTTTGAAAGACACAGCTCAGGCAGAGCTTGTGGTGTGTGCTGAGATTGCTCCATAGCCTGGAGAAGTCCAGGGCTGTGGCTGCAGAGCATTGCAAGGGGAATGGGGGAGGCAAAGCTCTTTTGTAGCTGAGCAATCATTAAATGATGTGTTTTCCCCAAACTGAGTGCTTCCATTTTTTTTTCAAAGCAGGAACATGCAGCTCCAACAGCAGAAAGCCCAAAAGGTGAAGCTCTGACAAACACTCCATGACTAAGCACATGTATTCACACCATCCTCTGAAGCCAGCAAGGCAAGGAGCTAAGAATAACCCCAGGTTTCTCTGAAAAGACAAGGATCAAGCAGCCAATTCCCTGACAAAAAAAAAACCAAACACCAGGATTTTGCTGGGCAGCTCTCAGCTGTAACAGGAGAAAGCACCTCTGAGGAGCTGTCTACTTACTCTTGAGTCCGATGCCTTTTCCAGCAGCTCTTGAACCTGGGAGAACCCAAGACAACCTCATTAAAACCACACCAGAGCTACCTACACCAGGAGACTGGTCTCTCTAGAAGGACCGAGGCGTCCCTCAGGGTGCAGGGAGGGCCCCGGGCCTGCCCAGGCGGGCACAACTCACGTAGTTCTCCCCGAAGCTGCGCTGCCCGTGCCTGTAGGCGTCGATCACCATCTCGGCCGGCTTCGTCTTGCTGACCGCGACCAGGCGCGGCGGCACGGCCGGCAGCCCC